TCCTGACGGTAGTACTATACCCCTTCCAGTGTGATGGGTGATATGCATACATACACTGTAGTAGCTTTGGTGAAACCTACAAAATCCCATGATGCATCTGTCTGGGAGTCATGCCTGTGGCTGTGAGAATCTTGCAAAGCCTCATGGGATTTGTAGTTCCACAACAGCTGGAAAGCCAGTGTTTGCCCACCCGTGTTGTAGTATATGTCTTTTAGAGTGGGGCTAGTAAGCCATAAGTCTCAATACATTTCTAGCATAGTGGCACTGAGAATGTATTAGCTCAAGAACAGCAATATATTCTTCATAGATTTTATGTTTGTTTCACAAGCAATGAAGCACACTGTCACCTCACTGTCACCTTACAAGCAAAATATAAGAGCAGGCCTGTACTGGCAACCTAGCAGATAACTTAGTAGTGCACGTTTTGCCCCCCTACCCCTGATCTAATCCCTGACCTAAACAAGTGCATTAAGATAAGTTCACTTATCTTTTTTGCCCCCCATCCTGGGACTTAAACAATATCCCCCTCCACAGACATGTACTTACCAAGATCAGACAAGGCATGGCTCTTCCATTGTATACATCATGCATTGCAGTGCTCCCTCTGCTGGCCACACCTGCACATTACAGCCCTATAGATGTCAATGGGGCCGTCTCCCAGGTGAAAGACAGATGTGGCCAGGAGAGGGAGACTTGCTATTTTGCTTTTGAAGAAGGGGGGCAGTCCAATGAGGAAAAATGATTTTTCAGAGTGAATGATTGCTTTAAGCTAGCCATGCACAGAGTTCTCTTGTTCAGCCCCACAGGAGAAATCACGTAAATCTTCCACAATGGCTATTTGCAGTCAACGTGTGGGTATTCCAACAGCTGTGGAATACCCAAACGTGACTACATTTGATTGGCTGTAGTGACTGTTCAGACGACGTTTTTCCAACTGGCTCCTTGGATTTTGTAAATTGAAGTTTGTCAAACTGGGTGGCACCATTAGGGCCACCCACAACTCAAATTTTGGCTGATTCAGCAGGAATCGGCCAAACTTCAAGCAGTGTATGGCTGTCCTAAAGTAGATAGGGGATAGAGTAAGGGAGGGTTTTAATTAGAGGTGCACCAAAATTAGATTTTTAAAACTGAAACAAAACTGAAAATAAAATAAAATGTCAAGCCGAAACCGAAAATTATTTTTTTTTCTAACTTTTCAATTTTTTTAAATATTTTATTTTTTTAATAAACTTTTTTAAATATTTTATTTTTATTTATTATTAAATATTTTTATTTTTTTTAACTTTACTGCTGGGGGCTTCGGGGAAATACCAGGGGTCTGTTTAGACTCCTGATATTTCTCTTTTAAAATAGAAAAAGAGATTGAGGACTCAGAGTCCTCAATCTCTTTTTCTGCAGCCCCAGCACTGAGTGAACAGGAAGCCTCTATACTGAGTGTTCCTGTTTATTCATAACTTGTGGAGATAGTATGTTTACCATGCCCACAATCATGAGTGAACAGGAAGTGATGTAGATCACTTCCCATTCATTCATAATTGAGGATACAGTAAACATAGTATGTCCTCAATTATTTACAAACACTCAGCGATCACTGATCTCTGCTTGTACCCGCTCTCCATCCTGACTCGCTGTCTCAGGAGGCTGAGCTCGGTCTCCTGTGACAGCTGAGTCCTCCCCCGCACCACCGGCCCACCCTCCTGTTACAGCTGACTCTGCCCCCACACCGCTCTCCTGATCTGTCACAGGAGGCTGAGCGGGCATGCACTGCAATTCTGGCCGACAGATATGTTTCGGCGGCCAAAATTCCGGTGCATCCCTAGTTTTAACCCATTTCAGCTTTTTTTGCCACCTGCTTCCCTTTGGGGAGATTTCTCTTCACTTCCTTGTACTATAGCCACAACAGGAAGTGAGAGAAAATCCCTTCAAAGTGACAGAAATCACTGGTGGTCAGCAGGGTCACCAGAATATCTATTCCTGTTCTGGTGACAACTCAAAATTGGGGATTTTCTTTCACTTTCAGTGATAACGGTCACCAGGATAACTACAGTGGACAAATCTCCCTAACCGGCACACAGACAATAATAAGAACTTTACAGGGGCTCTAATCCATCTTCCTCTATCCAACTACTTTAAGGATCTGTTCATATTTCTATGGTGTTTAACTGCTTCCCGGACGGCCGTTGTAATTAAATGGCCGGCCAGGAGCTTCTTGAATGCAACAGGGCGTCTAAAGACGGCCTGTTAGACTTTGCGCACATAAGCGAGAAACTGTCAAAATGTAGGCGACTGTAGGCGGCTTCTTAGCCCCCTATGTGATAACAATAAAGTTAAAGTGATATTAAAGGCAAACACATTTTTCCCTCCCCCCCATGTAAATGTTAGCACTTACCTTAAATGATGTCTCTTATTCTGGTCTTCCTCTTCTTTCCCCATGTTTTCATGTGTCCCTCCAGCGGTACGGCGTCTCTCCGATCCAGCGCTGACTGCTCTGTCCCTCCGATCCAGCGCTGACTGCTCTGTCCCTCCGATCCAGCGGTGTCTGCAGGCGGGTGCACGCATCCATAGACTTACCTTGCGTCTCTGCTCGTCTCCCGGCCGAGAATCGGAACTGCGCATGCGCCCGCCCAAAGATCCTTTGCGGCCGTACGAGCAGTTCCTGATTCTCGGCGTGGGAGCGAGCGGCGATAACGAGGTAAGTTTAAAATGATTTCAAGCGTTTTTTTGTTTTGTTTTTTTTTTACACTTCTTGCCTATATCTACTGCATGCTAGCAGTAGATATAAGCAAAAAAAACGGAGGGTTTAGAACCCCTTTAAGTGGGGGAAAAAATTGAAGTTGCAAAAAAAATTAGTCACACATAAAATAGAATTTTTAAAAAACCACGAAAATGTTTTTAAAGTCTCCAGCCCTACATACGCGCGTGCAAACATGCTTCGGATGCGCATGCATGCGAAAACAACGATTGCGCCCATTACGCCGCATATGTTACATATCTCTGTGAACGTCGGAGTGAGAGCAATCATTTTAGGGCCATTAATTACTGATAACACTAAACTGATGAGCAGTAAAACCCTTTAAAGCATCGCAGATAGTCAATTTTGGGTACAATATTTTTTTTGCGATTTTTGCAGGTGTGTGCAATTTTAAGGCTTAACATGTTTGGTGTTTATTTACCTGATGTGACTCAGAATCTTAACTGAACAAACTGAAGAGAGAAGCTGATTGGTTGCCATGGGCAACTGCTCCAGGTCTGCTCAAGTTTTGATAAATTCTCCCCCTGGTCTTTATGTGGTTAAATTGTACTTTCAGTGTGATAAGGTCGAATAGCAGGACGGCAATTGCTAACATCTATTGTACATAACCTCCTGCTTGCAGCACGCCACTGATTGCAATCTATAGGCAGATTTGTTCCCCAGAATGACCCGTCAGCTTTCATGAGATTTTCGTTTTCAGGAAAAGTGAAGGAAATTTTGGTCACTTTGTCTAATCACTCAGCTTTAGTTCTCTTCACTCTATCCAGACTCCAGATTTTAATAATAAGTCTCTTAGTTTACTTTAGAAAGTAGAAGCGTTCATAGCTAACGTCTTATTGTTCTATTGGAGGATGACTGGAGGTTTTATTCCCACTACAGCTCTCTGTATAACTTCACAAGCCTTGCCTTTTTCCCATATTAATCTCATCTTTTCCTCGTCTACTGACCCTGGGTGTGAAGCTGCTGAGGATGACCCCAGGGGCTGAACAAGTGGAAGATGGCGTAACCTAGCAACTTTCCATGTGGGCATTCGGGGCCTGGTCCCGCCCACATGACGTCAGATGGGAAGAGCAGCGGGACTCATTCAGTGTTACACATAAAACGGCACCACCTGCATCTCTATGGAGGAGCTCGCTGCTTGCTTGTGCCTGCTGCCATCTAGGTGAAATGTTGCTGTGTAGTCTACCTATGAGAGTCTTATGTTACAATGTTACTTGTTTCCTGTATGTACACTGCATTATACTATAGTTTGAAAGAAAAAAAAATGCAATATATAAAATTTAGAACCAACCCTTCCACCCCAGCCATCTGATTTGAATAAACATGTGCGTGTATGAATACACGAAGGGGGAGGTCTAAAAAAAACCCCCAAAAACAGTACAATGTGTTGGATTCAGCAATTCAGCATTATGCTTGGGAACACACACCAGCTGTCGTACGTCGTAGTGCAACTGCTGGTGTGAATGCAGCTTGAATGGCGCACCGCAGTATGGACAGGGGCTGAGTGACCGCTCTTTTCGGACCCTGATTTGCACCTTGGCTCGAAGATCATTTTACTCACCAGACCTCCTTGAATTTTATCAGGGTTTTTCCCCTGGTGTAGTGCAAGGGCCTGTTTGAGTAGATACAAATTAAATGTATTGTTTAGGTGTGTCCCCCTATTACATAGATTTAGCAAACCTAAAACTCACCACACACATTACAATCTGATTGTACAATCTCATTTTGACCTTCTAGAAAGTATGTAGTGAAAGGGCCTGCCTGATTGGACAAAACTGAATAGTTTACGAAGGTCATCCTATTACATAGCTTTGGGAGATCTAAAGGTGATTGTACAACGATTGCATGGTCAGACTGTAATGTGTATGATAAGAATAAAATAGGTTGTACAATCAGATTGCAGTGCCAAGTAAATGGACTTTCTCCTGCACTGACAGACCAAAGCAATATTTTATACTAGCCCTTTTATTAGCATGCCATCCTCTATTCTTGTACAGTGCGTGCTATTTACAGACATATGGCATGCAGCAATCCTTAGTAGGATGAGGCTTCTTTCCCATTCACACCATATATATACCCCGAACTGAACGAGGAATCTTTGTATATAAAAGTGTATAAAAGGATGTAGAAGAGAACGGGCAGTGACACATCCAGCCCCTGCAGCCTATCAGGAACCACCTAGGAGAGTGCACGTCTGCAGGGATGTGGGGGAAGTCATATTACACGTAAGCGGTGCTGAGAAGTAGCCGGGAGCAGCTCAGTGCAGAGCTCATTGCTGAACTGCTGGAAGTATACTACACTATGGCACAGACTGTTACCCTCAATGGTCCCTCTCCCTGGGGATTTAGACTAGTGGGAGGCAAGGACTTCAGCACTCCTCTCACCATTTCAAGAGTAAGTCACCCAACTTTTCTGTGTGTTCAGCATTTATTGTCATTACTGGAATATTTTCTGTAGCGTCTTTTTCTTGGAATAGGTCTTCATGTCTCTATATTATAAAGTGGTTGTGTTACTATGTTGGCTTATTTTATTTGAAGAACTTTGCTCAATGCCAGCCTCCTTTAACCTGCTTACCCCAGAGGTACCAATATTTTTCTGGTCTCGAAGAACCCCTACTAAAAAATGTTTTACCTACTTTGCTGTACATTAGAAGTATCACTAAATTGTAGACTGTTTAAATATAGGAGAAAAATAATATGACATCCCTAGCAAATGTGACATCTGGAGCAGATCTTTTCTTTACCCTCCTACTCTGTATCAACATTCTTGATAATAACCATGAAATTAAATGGATAATAACAGAAAAAAATGGCAGACTATATCAATTATGGCACCCCCTAACATTAGTGGTCAGAATGCAGGTGTGCCCTTGATTCGGTGGTCAGTGTAGAAGTACCCCCTTTGCAATGGTGCACAGTGTGCAAGTGCTGCCTTGCATTGGTGCTCAGTGTAGAAGTGCCGCCTCGTGTTGATGGTCAGTGTAGAAGTGTCCCCTTGCATTGGTGCTCAGTGTAGAAGTGTCCCCTTGCATTGGTGGTCAGTGTAGAAGTGTCCCTTTGCATTGCTGGTCAGTGTAGAAGTGTCTCCTTGCATTGCTGGTCAGTGGAGAAGTGTCCCCTTGCATTGGTGGTCAGTGTAGAAGTGTCCCCTTGCATTGATGCGCAGTGTAGAAGTGCCCCCTTGGATTATTGGTCAGTGTGAAAGTGCCTCCTTACATTAGTTGTTAGTGTGGAAGTGCCCCCTTGCACTGGTTGTCAAGTGTGCAAGTGTCGCCTTGCATTAGTGGTCAGTGTGGAAGTGACCTCTCGCATTGGTGGTCAGTGCAGAGATACCCCCTTGCGTTGGTGGTCAATGTAGAAGTGTCCCCTTGCATTGGTGGTCAGTGTGGAAGAGCCCTCTTGCATTGATGGTCAGTGTAGAAGTGCCCCCTTGGATTATTGGTCAGTGTGGAAGTGACCTCTCACATTGGTGGATAGTGTAGGTATGAAATCAATTCATCATTGCTCAAGAAAGCCCCAGCAACCTTAGGAGGAACCCTGTGGTTCAATAGATCCCTGGTTGAGAAAGGCTGCTCTAGCGAGTCACTCTCCTAGAAATTGTGCAGAAAACTTACTCATCCTTTGGTTAATCCCTGTCTGACACTTTGTAACAACCTGGTAAAGCAGCACAAGTGACTTACTGGCTGTGTGCTAAGCAGGAGCAGAGCTTGGAAGGAGACAAAGCGTCTCAGATGATGCCTTCACATCAGTGACTAAGTCACTCTTCTCTTCTCCTTTTCATCATTTAACTGCTTGGCTGTGATTCATTCTTATGGGCTCCAGTTTGTACACTGAGAATTCTTTGTTTTATTCAATATAGTGGCCAAAATAAAACTTATGAATAAGGGGCAGCGAGTTTCTTGCCAGAAGCAATTGGTATTAGTTGTATTGAGAACATAAGCAGTATCCACCAGTTATTTCTAGGGAATCTAAGCTACTCACTTAGGATATTTATGTTCACCCCATCATTTAATAAACAGGAATACAGAATACTTTGTTTCCATTGAAGTATGCCACTTTTAGATAAATATACACACTCATGCTGTGGTGTGCGCTTATTGTGGGTAAGGTTTCAGGAAACACACAATTACAAAACGGTCCTCGTTCTTAACATGCCTGGAGCATGTATACACATTGGTGTCGCCCCAAGTGCAGATCACAGCAAACATAGGTCTGGATAAATCCATGCTATGGTGTGCAGTTAAAATTGTGTGTGTGAATATCATGTGGTTGGAAAGAATAATAATGATTTTATAATTGCACAGTTGGTGTGGTCTAATGTGATGCAGTAACAACAAGAACTAATAAATGTGTTTAATTTATAAAGCCCGGATATTAAACTAAAGACAATTAAATGTAACCCCTTCAGACACAAACAGATATTGGAGTACAATTTGGGGTTTAAAATTCTGGATTTTTCCAGTGAAAAGAAAATCTAAAGTAGGGACTGTTCTTTAAAGTCAGGGACAGTTGTCAGCTACAGGCCAATGGTTAAAATGACTATAATATTATTCTGATATTACATATAAAACAGGTAAGCTTGATTAATAAATCTAATTATCAGGAAATGAAAGTCTATCGTCTTTGTCTTGTTTGTTTGTTAGTGGTTAGGACCATCTATTGTTATGTTTATCTAAAAAAATGTTTACTATTTGTAGACCTTTTATTTATACATATGCTCCTTTTGTTGTTTGTGACTGTACAATATTTGTTCATTTTAGGGATTTGTTATGTTTTAAAATACTAGCTATTTATAAATTGCGGTTTGCTAAATTTAAGCTTGGACGTGTCAAAGGTCACATTACAGACTTGCTTAGGTCCCATCACTATAATCAGACCTGACAAAACGCATAAACATATATACTTTTATAAAAACTGCCAACAATCTTTTCCTTAACATCAAAATTCTTCATTACTGGAAATGTATCCAGAACCTCCTGAAATCAGAAGTAGATATATGGAAACCTTCAAAATACTTATGGTTTGGGTAATATGTGTGTGCCCCCACACACACACTCACTCTCTCTCTCTCTCTCTCTCTCTCTTCTCTCTCTCTCTCTCTCTCTCTCTCTCTCTCTCTCTCTCTCTCTCTCTCTCTCTCCCTCTCATACTAACACACACATACATATTAGAAGGCCAGATGATCAACCTGTATGCATTTGCATTTTTAAATGATACTGTAAAACCATTTACATGTACTTTGCTCTTCCAAGGCAGATCAGTAGGTTCGCATACTCACATTTCCTTTCCACTTCACTGATGCTTAGTTTATCCACTGAGACAGAAGAAAATACCTGGTACCCCTTCCTCCCATGTGACAATACTGGTGCTTTGTGATTGGTCCAACACTGATACATAGCGGCAGGTAGAGAGTCCCCTGTCCTGTGTAAGCTTCAGCTAGAGTGACTCAGAGCCCACACAAAGGCTTCCTTTCCTTGCGTACAATGGCTGAACTTACAAACTTCATGTAGATGGTTTGTGACCAGTGTTGGGCCAGGGTAAATGGCAGCCATGGCAAATAATGCTGGTCCACATTTGAATGCATGGCCAGACTTTTTTCAAGCTTAAGTTAAAATAGCTATAATGTTAAAGCAGAACACCAGGAATGATTGTTTATGGATACTTGCATTAGTCCACCTTGGCTCATTAGGGCCAAGCTGGACATGCAGTATGTAAGTATTGGACCGACTCGGCTCAATGCAGCCATCTCTGGAGGGCTGCTGACAATGCTGAAAATGACTGTACTAGTCCACACTACATACAGTGATAACTGGTTGCTTCCAGATGCGTCACCTCTGCACATTGAGCACAGGGAACCACTTGCTCAGCACCACCACTATTCAGAGAACATCTTGTATTTTTTTCAATAAATACAAGGCATTAGCAGAAATTGTGATATCATCTGCCCCTGCCCACTACTTGATCCAATCAGAGAATGCCTTATATTAACTGAAAACAAAATACAAGACTTTCTCTGAATGGTGGAAGTGTGCGCTGGAGCCACAGATGGAACAGACCAACTATCACTGTGTGTAATGCTCACTAATAAACTGATTTTCTACATCCCCAGCTGCCCTCTCGAAATCAGATATGGATACTTACAGTGAATGAAGCTGGACCAATGTAAGTTTGCAAAAATTGATAATTCCTGGAGGTCATCTTGAATTTTTTCCAATACTGATAAGAAAGCAAATAATTACCACAGTTCTTTCCATTAGCACAGCATGATGAGTGCGCATTCCAATAGTCCTGAATGCTGACCAAAATTAGGTATTAATGTATCAATGGTACTGTTATTTGTCATGACCTGTATACACCTTGTGTAATACCCATGGAAAAAATTAAACGTTGCAGTCATGAAGTTGTGGTAGCATTCCTAGACTTACTGATGCTATTAAAGTGCCATGGTCTGAATGTAGCCCACCCTGCTTTGGACCATTGAGTAAAAGTAAGAGCCTTGTCTCCTTCCATGCCTGGTTGGAGTGCCCAGATATTTGTAGTTATTCTCTTGGAAAGTTTCATAGCAGCTGGAGGTTTAGAAGTTGCCAATGAAGAAATGTGTAGAATGATCGCTTTCTCACCCTTCCCTAGAAACTTGCTTTTGATTATAATATAAATATAAATTGTGACAACTGCATTCCTCCTTAAACCATTTAGCTGCCATGACCATGACTCTTGTCTCACTGACATGACAAATCTCTGTGGTTACACGTCTTGGTGCACTTTTTCCAGATCCCACCCTAGAAAGGAGTGTCTGCTGCGAAGTGTTTCACAGAGATGCAGAATAACAAAAGCCACATTATGCCTCTGTTGACTTTAGTAATCTATTTGGTCACAGGTGCAAGTCACTTACAGCAAACAGGAACAGTTTCAGTTTAGCACGAATGTATTCCAACTTAATGTTTTATCCTGTCCTACAGCAGAGTGTATGACATTTAGAAAAAAAAGGCAGGTAGTTTAATCAGGCAGGGAACATAATTGCTACAAAATACAAAAAGAGGACTGCTCTCTTCCTACATCTGTAACCGATTACTGCACTTCCAGACTCCACTGCTGCTCTAAAATTCCCCTCAAAGTGCACTTGATGTGTTATCAAAGAAATCCTAGAAGAAAAGGTCAGGCACCCAGCACAGGAGATGGCAGTGTTCGGGTTAACAACAGTTCTATACACAGAGAACAAAGAATGTGTGGAACTGAAGCTCAGCTGAAGTTTTATAAATCACAGAAAACAGAATACTGTATGTCCACAAAATTAAGTCAGGGATATTTTCCTAAGAAAGAAAATGTATTTTCACTGAAGGAATTTAACAATTATGCATTTAAAAAATAAAAAACTTTGGAGATCAGCAAGGGAAA